ACTTCCATATTTCACAAATGATGTAGGTATCCCGTCAGGTTCACGATCATAAGACATTTTCAGGGCAGTTATGGCCTGCTTGATGTGGGAGGGTGTGAAATCAATTTTCGACAGATGTCTGGATGTTAGCATTGTAAATTTAATGATGGAGTTTTCAGTTCCAGTCTTGTAGCACTGCGAAAATCACTTGCTGAATTGTTCGCATATAGTATTCGGGTCGTTAACAATGCTTTCGTTAACTATGAAGGATTTAGTCGTGCCAAGGGAATTTGACTTTACACGGGAATTAGAGTATAAATCGCAATTGGTAGTTCCATGGATACTCAAAGGATTAGCTAAAGTAAGAGTCGTGTGTCCCAGTAACACCGCATGCATACCAATATTACGAAGGCCAGGTTCTAAGTAGTCTATGAGTGGCTGGATCTAAAAAGACTGATGGTATCATGAAAGAGAATCACCAAAAGAAACTAAAAACATCTGGTGCAAAGATCTAGTCCGAGGCTCTTTAGTAGCATACAAATTCGATTATCCATATAAGAATGAACTGATAAGTCTCATATCTTTATTTTTAACTATACATTAGTTGTTTGGTAGCGACTTGATGGTTAACATTGCTAGCACCATTTCTTTTATAATGCAACACAACTACGTATCATGGTTGATAAGTATTTAATCTAATTCTATACTTGTTTCGCTCAGAAATTTACATCAAAATAAACAATGAGCATGACTATATATCATAAGCCACTCATAAATAATCTAAGCATTTTGTTCCACTACAGAACATAAAATCATTCAAGCTTGTTCACCAACCTAATTGCTAACGAATATTTACACAATATAAACAAGTTATCAATCTATTGAAAGGGCAATCAAAAGTTACTCACTGTCAAACTATGAGTATTTCGTTTTTTCGGTGGAGGGATAGTAACACTGACACCAGGTGGTGTTGAGTTAGGGAGTCTGCCACAAACGTCTCCAGAAAAGCGTCTTTTATAGTGAGTCGGAGTATTCCCCATAATTGAGTGTACACAGATTTACAAATTAATTCGAAATCTACAGAAAGATTTAACAAAGGCACTTATATAATATTTAATTCACGATAACAGTAAGAAGAAGAAATACCATGTAAAACAGCAGCTTGATGGGTGATGTGAAACAGCGTCGAGAGAGGTGATTGAGACACGTTAAATACATATAATAATCGTCTATCTAAACATGTATGCTTTCTAGAGTGGGAGTAAATACGGCAAAAATACTTCAAGGCACTTAAATTAATGACACACTCAATAAATTTCCATCAGAAATATATATATATAGGGATTTCTCGACTTTATAATTCATATCTACGAAATAGCGGAAATGAATCATCGGAGAATTTAGGCTACGTAGACCAAGTCACCCTCACCGGTAAAGAATAATCTGTTGCCAAATTTCTCCTGCAGGTTAATACTTTATTGTAGTTTTTTCTGTGTGCTATATTTACTTATTAAACTTAGTTTTTCTTATTTACTTAGACACTAACATTGATACAAGGAGGCACCAAATAAACAACTCGATTTATGTGAAGGCTGGGATAATGCACGAGTGCGGTTAAGTTTAATTCTTTTATTAATTTCCCGTTCACTATGAATTCTCCCATAGTATACGATAATTAGGTGAATATCCACGTATTTACTTTGACAAGTATATTATTTAGTACAAGGTTTAGTGCACAGTGATCAGGTGAATCCCATGTAGCTCTGTATATGTGTTTTTGGGGAAATTCAGGGTTACCTATAACCATTTTGTTGAGTGCACGTAAGTTTGTAAACCTCTCGTCATCCTTGTTGTTTTTTCCCAGTTGCTGCATGTAGTCCCATGATATCTTCTTGTTCTGTAATGTCTATTCCGACTTGGATATTCAGGTGTCGACTCAGGATGATCAGGTCTTTTCCTAAACACTTCTCTATAATCGATTGCTGTTTGTTGTAAAACTTATCTTTGTCATCTTTATTCTTATCATTAGTGGGTAAATAATAGTGGATAACATTCATCATGATTCCCTACTTCTTTGTTTTAAAGAATGCTTTGATGATGTTGAATTCATGAGATTCGTATCCTATGAGTACTTCTCGTGATTTTTTGAGCAGTGTCTATTCAATAGTTCTGGTTCGGCAATTGGAGATAGTTAATTACACTGTGCTTCATCTCCTGTAAGGTCGTCGATATTTCAACCGCGACATTTGGTTTCAAAAATAAAGCGTCATAATTTTTCCAAATAAAGATGCGGAAGTTTAGATAAATAAATTTGTCTGAACTGGCCATCATCGAAATTTTTTGGACTAATTACTTCTCTCATTCTAAGCAACATGTCTGTCGCAGAACCATGTTGCAGGTTCATATTATTAGGAAGTTGATCTAAGCTCTGTCAACCTGTTAGACCTCCGCGTTTAAGGATAGATTGGTTTAAGTTATTCTTCCTGGTTACGGTTATTTTATTTAGGTTATATTCCGCGAGATAGGATTGCTGTCCCATGATAATTAGAAGTATTTGGATTATAGTACAGACTAGGGATCCCAGAAATAACGCAGTTGAATCAAGAAGTACTAGATAAGCACGGACTAATGTACTGTATTTGGGATCCGAAATCAAGCATTGAACAAATACAAAGGAATCATTAGGAATCATTAAGAAGGTTGATTCCTTGGAAACTGTTCAAGGAAGTTATGCGAGACAAGTCGTCTGTGACTACATTGTTTGCTCCAGAAATGTGTTGGATGTCTGAAGTAAACTTCGAAATGTAGTCTAGTTGTCGAGACTCATGAGGTGAGTACTTGTCAGAGGACGAGCTTCAGGAAAAGGTAAGCGGGTTATGGTCAGTGAAAAGGGTGAATTCATGGCTTTCGATATAGTGTTGAAAATGCCGTACAGCCCAGTACATAGCTAGGAGTTCCCTACCGAATGTGCTGTACCTTGATCCGATGTCTAGCAACCGTCTAGAGGAAAATGCCAAGGGTTGCCAGGAGTTGTTAACTCATTGTTGTAAGATTTCTCCGATTGCTGAGTCGGATGCGTCTACTGCGATACTAATGGGTGCTTCGGTGTCCTGATGAGCAAGCACTGTTGCTTTAGCAGTAAGTTCCTTAACTGTGGAGAATGCTTTTAGCGCGGTTTCGTCTAAATTGATAGATTTCGCATTTCTACGAAGTTAGTCGGTTAGACGTTTCATAAGTAATGCTCATTTCGGTATGAATCGTCTATTGAAACTTACTATGCCGTTAAACGTGTGTAATTGCTTAATAGTGGTCGGTTCTGGATAATCTAGAATGGCCTCCACTTTGGTTCTAAGGGGTCGGATGCCTTGTGCATCAACAGTGTGTCCGAATAAATATAGGGAGTCAGTCCCGATTTGATATTTCTCAACGTTAACAGAAATGCCATGCTTTTGTGGTCGTTCGAAAACAAGATCCAGATGCTGGAGATGAGATCCTCCATCATCATCTATGAATCTTTGGAAAGTTTGGGCAGCTTTTCTTAGGCCGAAGAACGTGAGCAAAAATTCTTAAGGACCGGAAGGAGCAATGATAATGGTTTTGGAATGTTGTCAGTGGCCATGGGAATTTAGTTATAGGCTATAACCAAGTCGATTGTCGAAAAGACAGTTGTACCTTTCAAGGTAGCTGTCAAATGGTGAATGTGGGCAACGGGTAACGATCGGGAATGTTTCGATCGACAGATGCAGCCAGCTCGCCTACGGCGCTGTTTTGAATCGAGACCAGTACAACTTGCATTTGTCGCGGAAGTTTAGATAAATAAATTTGTCTGAACTGGCCATCATCGAAATTTTTTGGACTAATTACTTCTCTCATTCTAAGCAACATGTCTGTCGCAGAACCATGTTGCAGGTTCATATTATTAGGAAGTTGATCTAAGCTCTGTCAACCTGTTAGACCTCCGCGTTTAAGGATAGATTGCTTAAGTGTTTCGTAGGGTCCGAAACATCACAAGTGAACATGCTAGTTGCTGCGTACCTGTTGAATTCTCACGGTAGTGCCTTGACTAATGCTAGGAATCTTGCTTGTTTGTCGTTCACGCCGTGCTCACGGAAGTCGGCTTCTGTGTAGCAGAACCAGGCTTCGATGTTGTCTGGCCAGAAGGGTATTAATTGAAGCGGAGGTGGGGACATAGTTTTTGACTTAGGCACCTTAGGTGTCTGATCCGTCACGGCGAAATATCAAGTACAAGAATGGATGGGAAAAAATATATATCCAAAAACACGGTAAAAAATATCACAATGTATAAAAATTAAAATAAATCAATGATATATATGTAATCCCAAAAAGGAAAAGACTCATAGTTAGCTATTTGGTGTACCAGATCACGTTGGGCTCAACTGTGAAGATGCCACAGGTATTATAGTCTGACAAGCTTTGACCAGTAATACCTACCACTCTGAGTCGTACCTACTAAGTGAAATCAAAAGACAGAAGCGAGGAGGTTTGAAGATATATTTGACAGGTTATCAATATATTGAAGATTGACTAGTCTAGGCTGGCTAGCGATCGCAAATCGTCTAAACTATCCATCTTAATTACTTACGCCTGTTAATCCTCTTAGAGCACAAGGGATTGACTGGAATTCTCCAACCAGCGCATCATCAGCAGTAAAAGCGTTCCACACTAGATCACCGGGTCGTCTAGAGGTGACACTGGATACAGCACCTTAAACCAGCGATTGCACACTAAAATTAGCAAGGTCAATTATAATTCCGGGTGCTAATAGAACTACTTACTTTCGGAAATTATTTTACACAGCCTTATTATTCGAATGTCATACGGTTTTCAAAACTAAGTTGAACATAATTCTATCGATCTTGAGGGAATTTGGCATCATGTCCATACTGTTCTAAAACATTTAGCTGCAAACGTATATTATTTGGTTTGGAATGTGCAAGTGCTTCTGATGAGTAGTAGTTCAATTTCCTTGCGAAAACTATGTAAATAATCACAATCAGCGCGTCACCAACTAACCAATGAGAATCCAGCGCTTCCTTCAATTTCTATCCCATCCACAACCAGTGTGGGAGTAGGGTAGTCGCGCTCATATTTAGTAAGCTCTAGTGCTGCTTGTTTTTTTACTTTTAGGAGATTTATCTATACCTGGTTACAAAATGCACAACTTAAAAAGGTCCGGTTTTCTTTTTCTTTACGTGGGATGGACTACGCACAGATTTCGCTTATAAACAAATTTAATTTGACTGACATAGGACTAAATGGTTCTCACGGGATATAGCTTATAAGCTACAAGCAGGCTCAGCATTTTACCAACGGTTCAGTCCTTCATTTTTGTCAATTAGATTTGTTTTTTAACTGGTATTCATTCTCAATATTGATTACAGTACGAATTATTTATTCTCCGAATTTTACTGTATTGTATGTAATTAGGCTACTAGCTCTTTTTTCTATCGAAGGCTGTACACGCGTTTGTAACGACGAATACGATGTTTAGATCATATAGTCTATGTCAATGATGTTAGGAACGACTAGTTTTATAGTTATATATTTGTCTAAACATTTAAGCATAAACTTAACATGTCTCTTATAAGTGCTGGATTTTGCTATAAGTGACAATAGAGCTACACAAATATGGGTCACCAAATCAGTTATACCCCTCTTCTGTCATTGGAATTTATAATATTCACCTTGTACAGTTTACTCCATTGAACATACTATATGTATTTCCCATAAATTGTAGCGCATAATGACAGTTGATTTATGTCACTCAAGTGGACGGCGACAGCTAAAAAATGTTCAGAACGTATGCCAAATTCCTGTTACCGACTATTGCTATTGATTAATCAGAATCAATAATTGTGACGTAGTTACCAGGTTCCGGGCTATAATCATTTACATACTTTGCATTTCACTCTGTATTCGAAATACTTTTCTACTGTGTATTTTGTGTACCTCATGACCATAAAATTCCAGCCTAATTTATCGACATGTGCAATAGAAACTACTGGTTATTTCACTGTAAAAGTGATATTTCTTGTCCTCACAAACGAACTTCGTTGTCATAGACTGAGAATAACGCGACTGATTTAATTAAGGCTTGAATATATCTTAAATTGATTCACTCCATGTATGAATATATATATATATATATATATATATATATATATATATATATATATATATATATATATATATATATATATACTTCTAGCTCAGTCTAACGGATTTCATTTTAGTAGTTTTTAGGTCATCATCCCAACATTGTCATCGTTTTCGATAGATAAGAGACATAAAATTCAAAGCAAAAGTTAGTCTTCAGAATGACTGTTAAGTTGTCGTTCGATGGTGTAATCCCTTTACTCACAGAGGATGGAACACGCTCCACCTTTACAACACTTTAACTCGGTCACCAAATGTACTATCGTGTAATTAGCTTTCAACCATACGTCCTGTGTATGGGCCATTTCTGTCTCAAAAGTAGGCTAGAGGGATAGAAATTTGTAATTTAATATATGAGAGTCGTGTTTTAACCACTAGTTCACCGCTAGATGCTCCAAGCTTCGTTCAATAGTTAGTATGTGAACCCTGACTTCTGTAACAAAAGCAGATAACTTGATTTACGAACCTATAATGTAATATTTAAAAGTTGAGTGCTTTATTTACTTAACCTTCATTATCTCGGTTTTATACTATATTACACACTGACAATAACATTGTTCTGCATAAATTCGATCATTCTACTTAAAGACTAAAACATAACACGTTTAGTTGCAGACATTTTCGTGAGTTTAAATAGTCCAATGGCTGATTTGTTCCTAAAAAACGGATTTTGCGAATGTACTCGACCACACATTTTAAAGCACACTTTTTAATAAAGCAAGTGCTGCCTGTATTTGCCTAAAGAGCTAATCATTTGAAGTGATGTGGCTTTCTCTCTACAACATATGGTTTCTATTTTCAAGCTACTGATAAGGGTTCTATGTACTAACTTTGGAAATGTGATAATTTATGTTGCACTAATCTTTGTACTAAATAATATACTTGTCAAAGTAAATACGTGGATATTCACCTAATTATCGTATACTATGGGAGAATTCATAGTGAACGGGAAATTAATAAAAGAATTAAACTTAACCGCACTCGTGCATTATCCCAGCCTTCACATAAATCGAGTTGTTTATTTGGTGCCTCCTTGTATCAATGTTAGTGTCTAAGTAAATAAGAAAAACTAAGTTTAATAAGTAAATATAGCACACAGAAAAAACTACAATAAAGTATTAACCTGCAGGAGAAATTTGGCAACAGATTATTCTTTACCGGTGAGGGTGACTTGGTCTACGTAGCCTAAATTCTCCGATGATTCATTTCCGCTATTTCGTAGATATGAATTATAAAGTCGAGAAATCCCTATATATATATATTTCTGATGGAAATTTATTGAGTGTGTCATTAATTTAAGTGCCTTGAAGTATTTTTGCCGTATTTACTCCCACTCTAGAAAGCATACATGTTTAGATAGACGATTATTATATGTATTTAACGTGTCTCAATCACCTCTCTCGACGCTGTTTCACATCACCCATCAAGCTGCTGTTTTACATGGTATTTCTTCTTCTTACTGTTATCGTGAATTAAATATTATATAAGTGCCTTTGTTAAATCTTTCTGTAGATTTCGAATTAATTTGTAAATCTGTGTACACTCAATTATGGGGAATACTCCGACTCACTATAAAAGACGCTTTTCTGGAGACGTTTGTGGCAGACTCCCTAACTCAACACCACCTGGTGTCAGTGTTACTATCCCTCCACCGAAAAAACGAAATACTCATAGTTTGACAGTGAGTAACTTTTGATTGCCCTTTCAATAGATTGATAACTTGTTTATATTGTGTAAATATTCGTTAGCAATTAGGTTGGTGAACAAGCTTGAATGATTTTATGTTCTGTAGTGGAACAAAATGCTTAGATTATTTATGAGTGGCTTATGATATATAGTCATGCTCATTGTTTATTTTGATGTAAATTTCTGAGCGAAACAAGTATAGAATTAGATTAAATACTTATCAACCATGATACGTAGTTGTGTTGCATTATAAAAGAAATGGTGCTAGCAATGTTAACCATCAAGTCGCTACCAAACAACTAATGTATAGTTAAAAATAAAGATATGAGACTTATCAGTTCATTCTTATATGGATAATCGAATTTGTATGCTACTAAAGAGCCTCGGACTAGATCTTTGCACCGGATGTTTTTAGTTTCTTTTGGTGATTCTCTTTCATGATACCATCAGTCTTTTTAGATCCAGCCACTCGTAGACTACTTAGGTTCTTGCCTAAATGCATATATATGTCATATTTTGGAAACCTCATTTCGGAGAAGTGAGAAAACCGATAAAAATGCAAAGAGAAGCAAAAGCGAGCAAGTAATAGGAACCACCGTGTAATAAAGAAACACAAGCTTAAAAAAGGACAAATAAAATAGAAAAAAACGTGAAGCATTTAATGATACTGAGATTAACCGACCAGTCATAACTCATGTGCTCTAGCCCGTTTCTATACCAATGTTTTCATATAGATATATGCACGGATGCTATTGCAACTGATTTTAAGCCGTGTTACCAAATGTCTACGGCTAAACATTATGACTATCTCTCCGGTCCTAAACACAGAGTTAAAATCTACGCACACGAACTTCACGAAGCGATGTTATTTCTTCGCTTGGTTGCCATTCATTTTCTCCAAGCCTACTCCCATACTAGTCTCTATTACTCATTTCATTGGCAGTGGCTAGATATCGGTAGCACATTTCAATCACGTGAATTGACGAAAGTCGAATGCTTCATCAACCAGCTTATCTTTCCTACCTAATGCCTTAAACCTTACCTCATCACTTACACGATAGCTCCATCATACACAAGCAATACCATAAATACACGTATAATCAATTGATCGCAATCTGTTTGTCTTCTACGCTCATAGTGAATGCTTTCACTGTCTTGACTTTATGGTACTTACGTTTCTCGAGAAAAATCTGGGCTGTCAAGTTTCCCCAAAGAAACCGAACGCTAAACACCAAAAACTACACGGCCAACTTAGTAAGTTATTGGTCATGTTCATCTGGAACTCGTTTAATTGTGCTAATAAATTGGACAACCCACAAGAAGAAAATGTCTAATTATTCGTTTAAAGACTCCCGTCATATTAAAAGACTAGTAGTTGAACGAAGAATATTCTTTTCGATAAATTCTCTTCAGGTTCTACAATTATATATCCAAATTAATAATCCGAAAAAATGGCCAGGTTAAGGGCAAAGTACATCGTTTAGAGCATGTGAATTTAGGATTGTGATAAACAAAATACAATAAAATTGTTAATGTTGATATGACTCAGATAGAATGTTAACTTGAATCAGCTTATATGTTAACTAAAATTTTAGTTAACATATAAGCTGATTCAAGTTAACATTCTATCTGAGTCATATCAACATTAACAATTTTATTGTATTTTGTTTATCACAATCCTAAATTCACATGCTCTAAACGATGTACTTTGCCCTTAACCTGGCCATTTTTTCGGATTATTAATTTGGATATATAATTGTAGAACCTGAAGAGAATTTATCGAAAAGAATATTCTTCGTTCAACTACTAGTCGTCTAATTATTCGTTAATTCCTCATTCTGTATAATAATAGATGTATAATCTAGTATAGTCTCGGTTAAATGGATTATTGTTTATGTGTTAGGAATAAATCTTACTTTTTATTGTTTTCTTTTGTTTACCTCTACAAACATTGTTACACACTTCAGTTTTAGTTCTAGCTAGTCAGCTTTCATGAGTGACTTTACTTGTCCGTCCGCACCCCCCTCCAATCCGTGATTTACGGATGTACGTTTCGTTTTGTTTATCATTAACAAAACCAAAGAATTCACCTTTTAATTCCAGTTAATCAGTAATCACTATTCAGTTGTTTGGTTGTTCATTTCTTTAAAGTGACCTGAATAACTTCACTAAAAATAAATTTTTGATGTGACATTTTCTTACAGTCTATTGGATAATCTCTTATATATGTACGTGTATATACACCATGAGTAACCAGTACTTTTATTTCAAAATTTGACCTAATTCAGTTTTACAAAAAAGAGTTGAAATCGATTAAATATATCTGGCTATTTTGTGGTGTCTAATTTAAACTATACGCGATAGTATCATTAGCATTACCTGATTTCTCTCTTAGGATTTATCACGTTCTGCTCCAGCCGATTATCCTAATAATGAAATGTCAGTAAATGACGACAATGTTAGTCCTAATGACAAAGATACAATCTCAGTTGATGAAGCTACGTCAATGATGCGAGCTGCCAGTCTACGTGAACCTATCAATATAATCGATGCTCATGATAGTCTTGATGATAATAATCGGTTATACAATGTGCTACCATCTGACAAAATGGTAACGTCAACAATTTCTAGTGGTGATGAGAAAATTTCCAATTTTCTTCAAGAAAGACCATCTAGTGCAGGTCCATCATATTCAACAGATGAACAAATAATGTATAAGCATAGTCAACCACAAATCATTTTAAATAATGTTTCAAGAGATCGTGCAAGAACTTTACCATCCAGAAAGTTGGTTGGCTTAAAACTTCCTACTGTTTTTCGATGGAATGGTGGTGGTAAAGATATATATATTAGTGGAACTTTTAATAATTGGGAGAAAAGGATCCCTATGGTTAAAAGGTAATTTATTTTGTGAAATAAATATCTCTTTTCAGTACATTTTGTTCTTGTATTATAATAAAAAGGAATGTTATTTTACACCTGTTTTATATCATAATCAAGTTTAAGTTCATTTATAATGGTCCTGATTATCCCGTTGTTGATAACTTGACTGGAATTTGGTCAGTTTTAGTTGGTATATGTATATCCTGTGAGAATTGTCTCGATATAGCCAATTGTGACACAAGTTTGTATAGAATAGATAGAATGTGGCTATCAGTACAATTCTGGAGGCGCGTTTCATTCTATTTGGAGCTCCTCAGCCACATGCATCTGTATTCTATAATTATTGTTCACTCTAAGACTTGAATCTATTACCTTTAGTTTCAAAAGCTAACCCATTATCCAATTGGCTAATGAGTCCGGTAGCCACTCACTTATGCAACGAGTTTGGATTTTAATGTAATTTGTGATCCTTTGGACTATCGCATTGTTTATATTTTGACTGAAATCTTAGTTGGTATATATTCGGGTACATCCAGCTATGAAGTCCCAAATATGACTAAATGCGCGTCCTCGATTTCATTACTAACCACATTCCATCTATTTTAAGCAATCAAATATGTTTGAATCCAGCCATTATGCGATTAAATGACAAATGATCAGTAAATTTTATCAGGTCAGATTATTAGGACACTGAATAATCATTCTGTTAGTTTATGATAGCAAATTTCATCAATGTATCAGAAGAAGAGACTCTTCAAAAAAATATTTGTTCGAATTATATGAATCTAACCAATCAATGAAGACCGATCGATACCGTTAAGCTTTAATCGAACAATAGAAGATTTAGTTTTACATCATATAATTAGTTGAATTCGACAACTTTGAAATGTCAGATGGGTTTTGTGGATATTATAGTAATTTCAATGATTAAGATCATGAGTGAGTTGAAGCTAGACCGTTATGGAAAACCTGGAAGCACTGGACGGCCGTTTCGTCCTATTGTGGGACTCCTCAGCAGTGATGCTTGATAATTTGATTCTTTCCTACCGGAATTGTGATGTTTGCAATATCAGATTAATTAAAGTATCTCCTAGTGTTTAAATAATTTTTCTAGCCTAGTTAACTAAACAATGATTTCCGTATGTTGTTAATTTGTTACGATACATTGAAATCATCTATTACTTTAATGAATATAAAATCTCAAAATGATAATAATGATGATGATGGTAGTAGTAGTAGTAAATTTTCCAATAACTATAAATCATAACATTATAGAGGTTATGATTATGTCAAGGTTATGAAATGTAAGTATTATGTGTTAAATGATGCCAATATATATTCTATTCTGAATAAATGAGTTTCGATTCATTATTTTATTATGAATATAAAGCAATCGGTTATGTGTAACAAATTAAATGGTAAGGTAGTCGAAATAATGTAATGACAATGGTGATAAGAAGGAATAAATATTGAGAATATAATTCGAAAAGGTGGAATGAAAAGGTATGCCTGCTGGGTTACTGGTACACGAGATCTAAAAGAAAATAAAGTGTGAATGCCTCTGCCCCATTATAACTGATTCATATTAACTAATGTCTTCAATCACTGATGAAAGTTATCGCGTGAAGACCAGTCAAAATTGTTTCTACTGACCAACATTAGCTCAAATCGATAATCATTGACTTCATGAACTGATACCATGTTTTGATTTAGTCACTTCTACATTTTTGTTAACTCACTTCTATACCTGTCAAAATAAGCTTGATAAATATGTCGTCAGAAATTCTTGATTGAAACACGAATATTTTTTTAAAGAAGTATAGTCTGTGTTTTATTTGCCTTTAACGATGCTTACTGCACAATCACTGTTCAACTTACATTAATCAATTCATCCATATTATAAGTAGTCAGTTTGTTGACATTTCCTTTTTAAGTATACTTATCAGTTGTTTCTTCTAAAAAAACTATTAATAAGTATCATAGACATTGGAAAGTGATATTAGTGGGATTATTTTTTTGAAAAGAAGCATTATAATCTTTTAATAATTCAATCACACTAATCTTAACATTTTAACAGTTTAACTACGTATGTTATGATTTTTAACCATTCATAATTATAAAATGCTTTGTGTTATGATAAGCTATATATGTATAATTTCGTGGGAAAGTCACTTTTTCATATTCATTATTGTGCCACCAAATGCCCTGGTACGGCCGAAAGTGGGGAGAGTCCTCTCTCTTTCTCCAAATGCTTTCACATGGCCACGCGTATACAGCCTCTGCCAGGGAAGTCCTACTCACTGCCTTCTCATGGCGTAAGTGTTGCTTACGAAACTCAGAGGACGAAAAGCGAATGTCTGGCGCTTCAACGGGAAGGTGGACACGGAGAGTCCACCTATGGGAGTTGGGAAACCCTGATTCCAAACCAATGATGCGCATGGGCTCCAGGATCCTGGTGGAGCAAATGGCGTATGAACCAATTATTTGTCACCGACTACTATGGGACTGTATCTCCTGACGTTGCTTGACTGTATTGTGAGTCAGACCATTAGATCGAAGGCTCGGTGTGTGACCCCTTAAAAAACCATCTCTGTCGGTCTGGGAAGCCATGCAGTATCACAGCCCACCCATAACCCAAGTGACTTTTGTGGCTTATATGTATTCGGTGCCCCCTTGTACCTATATCTATATGTCCAAATAAATAAATAATAAAATAAATCATATATATATATATATATATATATAACCTTGATTCTGAGTAAAAAACTGATAAGGTCAAAGAATTTATGATTGAGTTAGAATGATATATTCGATGCCCGAAAATAAATTGACAATGACAAGAACTGGTACATTTTTCTTGATAATTGCACCTCTGTATTATGATGGAGTGACGACTTGAACTGATGTGTACATGCGGCAGGTTCTTTGTTGCGTATGACTGACTATATATAACTAAATTTTCTTCTATTACTTTGTCCCTTATTCTTATTGTATTATTCTTTTTTAGAAACTCAGGAGTTTACGTAATTATTGATTGTAAACCTGGTATTCATCAATATAAGTATTTCATTGATGGGGCATGGTATCATGACCCAACTAAAGTGAGTGAGTGAATAGTAAGCGAAATATTTTTGTTTTTAATGCTTTTTTGTTGTATAATACATCCTTTGATGAAGTAAAATCACTGTATGAATTTATGATATTCGAAATACGAGTCTGTCATGCATTCAACTAAAGAGACTCACAGAATTATTGATTCCACTGATGACGAGCTCACAATTGTTTATAAATGCTTGCTCTGTTTTGATGATGGTTGTAGTAGTTCTCGATATTGATATTGATTGTTAGTTGTTTTGAGTCACATATGCTCTTCAGTTGTAGGAATGTTGCCCTTGCTTTGTTAATTCTTGGCTTTATATTTGCATCGGATCCTCCATGCTTATCAGTGATACTGTCCAGGTACGTGAAGGTCTCCACTTCTTCTAGAGCTTCGTTATCAAATGTGATTGGGTTGGCCATGCCGATTACTCCGATTGTTGGTGGAGTGATAGTTATAGGAAGGTCTGCGTGTAGCGCTTCAATGTCCATTGGGTTCAGTGAGGTTAGTTTATTCAATAGTTCTTCAAAGTGTTCCACCCACCTGTTCGTCTATTCTTGAGTCTGATTGATTGACTTACCTTCTTTGTCCATGATCGGTCATTCTGGTTTCCCTGTCGGTTTCTTCGTTGTGTCATATAGTTGTTCCATAGTTTCTTATGCATCAGCTTTTTCCACTGTCGTTGCTAAGTTTTTGATGTATTTCTACTTATCGTCTCTAGTGCTCCTCTCCATTTACTTGTTTGCTTCTGTGTACTTGATCTGTGTCTTGATTTTCACCCGTCTTGTTCGGTTGTTGTAAATTGTTGTTTATCGTACTTCCTTACTTGAATTTGTCAATGATTTCGATAGAGATCTATTTCTTACGACGATGCTTTTTGCAGTTTAAAACCTGCTGACACGTTGACGTTAGTGCATCTTTGGTTTCTTTACAGTTGTCCTGCATAGTGGTTTCTTCTTCTTCTTCTTCTTTGAGTAGATCTTGTAAAACCTGGAACCTGTTGTTGAGTTTGTCAGGATGTTGAAGGAAGGTTGTATTGAACCTATTTAATACTGATTATTCAGTTGGCCAGTGCTCTTTCAGGTTCAGGTTCATCTTGGTAACCACCGGATGGTGACCTGAAACCATGTCAGCTCCTCTCCTGGTTCTCATCTCTTCCATGAATCTTCTGAATATTTTAGTGATGCAAATATGATCGGTTTAGTTCTCTGTAGAGTGATCAGGAGAGACCCATGTAGCTATATGTATGCGTTTGTGGAGAAGGCAAAGTCGTACTGCTGACTGTAGAGAGGTGTGACAGAAGCAAGGTGTTTCCTTCAGACAACCAGCATGACAGCGATGCTGCCTTCCCACAAGGAGAGGTGGGGTTAGAAAAGGTCAACCCTAAATATGCACACCTTACCTCACAGATTTCCGTCTCCGGCGGTAAGGTCTCAACAAGTACGGAGCTTACACAAAAAGTGCCCATAAAAAGGTCGTGTGTGACCGACCTCAAGCAGTTGTCCCTTGGGCACTGCGGTCACGCTCCCTGGTCACTAAGAACACTTCTAATCCGATTTCCTTTTCAGGTACCTCCAGAACAACCCTTCCATGGTGTGGGCAACCGGGAAGTGATAACCGCCCTCATACTTCTAACAGCAATCAATACCACTGTATTCATAATCAACCTCCCTCTTCAATTCCTATTATTCATCCTACATCAACTTCAAACTCTAAACTTCTTTTTTCGGCTTCCCCCTCAAGTGTCACCATAGCTAACGATTCTAGTGCTCAAATCACTGTCCCAGGTCTACTGAAACCTCGCTCCACACTACACATTGCAATCTTTTTCCTACATATTACCACCTTTGACCTAACCACTCCTATGAATCCGGTATTCATCTTGCTGTGCTAATGAGGTATGGCAACCTGGACCGATGAACATATGTGCCTGGTCCTACGTTGTAGTTGACTGACTGACTGAATTCAAGCTTTTACTACTAATGTTATTAACATTATATCCGTTTTGAACTCAGTAAATTACATATTGATGTTTAAAGCAGAATCTATTGGATTCTAATCGCATATAAGATGAAACATATATTCCATATTCTATAGTTAACCATAATATATCTATGTCTACAATACTTATATTTATTTGTCAAATAGTACGTGAATTGAGAAAACATCACATGTTTAAGGAAACTGAAATTGAAGAATGCACATGATTGTGACATTACAAACACATTGATATAGTTACATGAATATATTACACAATATATAATCTTAATCATTTCTTATTACAATATAAAGAAAAAGATGGTTGTAAATATGAGATTGTTCAAAGTATATAGTTCAATACAACAAATATTATTGTTTTACTGAGTAAGTAGTGACTTCAACATAAAACCGTCTACTCCACTTGTTTAATGATAATAAAAATTCAAACGTTTTAATCCCTTTTATTACATAAATTCTATTCAGGGTTTTTTTCCTTCTATGCTCAAAGATAATCAAAGTATTATGTAAATAAACGATGAATAATAAAACAAATTGGTAGAAATAAATAAAACCATCTGTATTCTACTCCTTTTATTGAATTCAATTTCAAATTTCGACCTGCAAGACAAGCCTTTATATTTTTGTTAACAAGGAAAAAGAATTATTGACACTTCCTCTAGTTACTGCCCCCAAATGCCCTGGTACGGCCGAGAGTGGGGAGAGTCCGCTCTCCCTCTCGAAATGCTCTCACATGGCCACGCGTATATAGTCTCTGCCAGGGAAGTCCTACTCACTGCCTTCTCGTGGCGGGGGTGTTGTTTACGAAACTGAGAGGACGAAAAGCGAACGTCCGGCGCTTTAACCGGATTTCAAATCAATGGTGCACATGGGCTCCAATATCCTACGGGAACAAATGGCGTATGAACCAATCGTTGGTCACCGGCTTCCATGGGACGGCATCTCCTTACGATGCTCCACTGCCTTGTGGATCAGACCCTCAGGTCGAAGGCTCGGGGTGCGGCCCCCTAAGAAAACCACCTGCTTCGGTTTGGGCACCCGGGCAGTATCACAGGCCTCACACATATCAAATGAGATTTGTGTGGCGCATATGTATTTGGTGCCTCCTTGTACCAATATCTATGTGTTGAAATAAATAAATAAATAATCTAGTTACTACGTATAGGCTGTTGGTTTTTGAAAATAAAAATCATACAAACCTATTTGTTTGTTTGTTTGTTTTTCTCTCCTCTTATTCAATAGAAAAAAGTTAATATCATTCATCGTTTGATGATTATTGTAAACTTTATCAATCTTCACTGTTTCTCTCCCTCCTCACAAATGATTCTTATTTTATTATCTTCTTTTTCTATTTTCCCAACAGCCAACTGTAGACAATGAATATGGTACGAAAAATAATGTTGTTCAAGTCAGATCATCAGATTTTGATGTTCTACACGCGTTAGAACATGATCAAGCCAGTAGTCGAAGACGTTCAAATAGTTCAGAATCTAGCGAAGTATGTTTTTTTTTTTAAAAAATTTAAACAAATCGTATGTTTATTTGTTTTGTAAATCATATTAAATTTTGAGTGTGTGTTTAAGTGTAAATGAATTATATATTTCACTTCTGTCACCAAGACATTGTATTCACGAGTGAATTCGTTTTTGAACAAACTTGTACGCACAATAGACAAATCAAATCCCCAATGGTCTTGTGAATAAAGCTCTCAGTTGATTCAAATGGAAAGGAAATTTTGAATATAAAGGTAACTATGTAGTGATTATGTTATAGTTTATTTATGTATGTTTCCAATATACATAGAAAGTTGATTAACTGGACTAATGAAATTCTAGCGAAATTGTTGAGTCTAATATCCTTAGTCATAAAAACTTATGCTTAGTTTACCTTCCTTTCTTAAGCTTACCTAAATCACTGACTTCACAATACTCACAATTCAAATGGGACAACCTAAATTCTCTAAGCTTTTATGCTATCTAACATCTAAGTCTTTGTTTCAGAAAATACTAATCTGTGTTCAGACCTTTATAGACAAGCTGATCATTTGATATTCACAATCATTATCCCATAATCACAAACCCCAATAACCAAGTACAAGTTCATGTTTAACCATCTTTTCTATATGAAATCTAATTCAATACTATCCGGATCATAAACCGAAGTAGGCTAAGGAGAACTTGAAACTGATAGCTATTAATCTCGCAATCACTACTCTGACGGTTATCTCAAAGAGAAAACCTATCTACACAAATAATACATTACTTAGATTTGAACCTTGTGTTGGACATAAGAACCTCAGTGCGTCTTACTAAAGATCATCATCATGCAAACCTTATTTTTCTATGTATTGTGACTAATTCATGGTAGACTTTCCTTACACAATGATATAGGGTTGGCTCACTGGTTAAGACATTTAACATTTGACATTACAGATTCGAACCTACTTCGGTTTGGGCAACTAAGTGGTCTCACTTGCCCTTACACTTAAAGTATAGCTCGAAGTCAAGTATACTAACATGTACCGATTGAGTTGGACCAATAAATAAATCTCTAGTACAATTCAATTGTGTAAAATGCGTAGAAAACACTTGCTAATCGGTTTTGTATACATTAGATATATATTGAACCGCCTCCAAGTTATTTGTTAAGCATTTTTCAATAGTTGGAATCATGAGTCAATTAAAGCTAGACCACCATGTAAAATCTGGGAGCACTGGATGGTCGTTTCGTCCTGGTATGGGACTTCTTAGCAGTACACATCCACGATCTCGCCCCCCGCGAGACTAACCCAGGACCTATCAGTCTCGTGCGCAAGCGCTTAACCATTAGATCACTGAGCCGGCATCCAACGGTGTTAATGTCTAACTTCAACCAATCCACGAAGTTGTGCCACCGTACACCATTGTCTTCAGTGAGTTGATATCTCACACCAGACCTGGTTGAACTCCACTGGTAACGGCTTCTTACTAGAACTCCAGGAAATGCCCCTTGAAGTCAGTCATTAGTGAGCAGATGATTATTATCAGAAGGGGTTTTGTGGAGATTTTTAGAAATTTCAATAGTTGAAATCATGAGTCAATTGAAGCTAGACCACCATGAAAAACCTGGAAACACTGGACGGCCGTTTCATCCTAGTATAGGACTCCTCAGCAGTGCCCACACACGATCCTGCCCCCGCGAGATTCGAATCGGGGACGTATCATCAATACAAATCGGTAATGAATTGGATTAGTTACAGGACAATTGTACCATATGATTCAAGCATACCAGCAAAACAAGAGCATGTAACATTCTCTTCCTTACTTGTTTGTATCATTCACATCGATTTTCTTTGTGAGAGGCAGGCGTTGAGCTTTTATGCATCATAAGTAATTTATGAGTTTACACATACAAAAAAGTTCCTTTTTTCTCTAAAAATATTTTAGTTTTAACTTCGAATTTTCTTATCCTCTATTTGTTTTGTGTTACTATTGGTATTGAAATTGTTTTGTTGTACACTGGATTCAGTATAACTTATTTTAGGATACATAATTTCAAAGTTATCATTTGTTATGTTAATTTTATTCTACTTTTTGGTTGTTAAACATTGCCTTCGAAAACAGAGGATATTCATGCGGTATTTGTTTTTCATCGTAGATCCTTTTTAAGCACATTAGTCGTGTATGTTGAGACTAATGCTAAGTCTAAACTCAAATGATAAAGTGGTTGATGAAGTAGTGAATCTTCATCTGCTAAGGTAATTGAGACGTGTACTTTGTATGATCAACCGTTCCCTACCTCGACAGATGTTGTTTGGTTTAGGAATGAACTGGAAGAAAGCTAGGATTAGCCAAATTAAGAATCAGTGTCAGTCCATGAAGTTATTAACTTGTAGACTGAGCCGTTTAGGCAGATACAGACTACCTGATCTAAGTCTATGCGATGCTCGTAACCAGTGTTTGAAAATATTGTATAATATGGCTCAGAATCAGTAGCAACTACGTTAATGCGATCCTTCTTTTTCTCTACTTAGAATTTATACTTCTCCATCCCACGAATTCATTCTTTATTCTATACCTAATATTTTCTATTACCACCGATACTGTTACTAGTTGTAGAATTCTGATATCTGTCTTTATAATTTCATTTCGCTGTGTAAATTCTGTGTGCAAACTTGGACTGATAAACACCTGTACTAGGTTCGATGTTGCATGTGACTAACTGACTAAATGATAGTGATAATGTTTTGTTGATGTATCGAAGTTGAAATGTGTGTCATCAAATTCTAGATCAGTTATTACTTTGTGATTCTCTTTCAATAGTAAGACTCAATAAAATAATAAATATAAAGAGACGTCTGTATATAACTTGAAAAAGTTTTTAGACTGTAGGGAAATTCATATAATTACCGTTAATTGATTATGGATGTAATTTCGGAGTTCTAGTTGAAATCCATGACCAATAGACTTCAGTCTTGTCAAATGTAACTCAGTTATCAATCAAGTACATTGGAAGATGATGATCGGGCGATACTATAAATTGGTAGACGTCAAATGTGTAAGCCATTGGATGCCGGCCCATTGGTTTAGAGTCAATGCGTTCACGCATGTGACCAAACGTTCTACGTTTGATCCATAGTAACGTAATTGTGGATCCGCACTACTGAGAAGTCCCATACTAGGACTAAACAGCTATCCAGTGCTTCCCAGTTTTTAGTGGTCGTTTAACTGAGATCGTTCCGTGATGCTATCTATGAAATTGCTTTTTTCTTGGAAAGTTCTTAGAGTGTGGAAAGTTTCTAGGACCTGCCATACTATTCATGCTTTTCTTTAATGTCTCTGATTAATTGGAGGATTCATAACCAGTGTTAGTACCTTTTTTAAGTTTCTAAAAAATCAAGAGCACTTGTAGATCAATAAATATTCTTTAGTCTATATATGAACTAACTTAAACAGTAAAATTCCTCTCATGTTTCCACCTTATAATTTCGTTTTTCTTTCTCAGTAGAAGAATCTAAGTTTTGGGAGTCTAGAAACAGTCCAGTGATTCAGTGTACTAAATTTTTATATGATAATAACTGTTCGTTTGTATATTTTATGTTTATCGAGTTATATTCCCAAGAGAGAGAATTTATTAATATTTCACTTGTGTACATTTTCAGGTTTCATTTATCAGTTAACCTGTATTATGTGAGATAAATTGTTTAAGTACAGTTCTATTGGTTAATATTTTGTGATATGGAAAATTTATTATTCATATTCATAGTTATAAAGCTTAGTAATATCCATACAGTGAAATAATTCATATCTCTTATTATCCTAAGAGAATTTACACATCAGTATACTCACCATTGTACAGTCTTATCTCCAAAACTTTATATATTGTTGTAGTGTATGAACGAAAAAAAACCATAATTCATCAGTTCAAATCCTATTACATCCAGTGCTTTCAAGTTTTCCATGGTGGTCTAGCTTCAATTGACTCATGATTTCAACTGTTTAAATTACTACAATCTCCACAAAACCCCTTCTGATACAAATTTATGTATTATTTTCAATGTATCATCAGTTTGATAGTTTAACCAATTGACATTCAATCACTGAATCACAATTTTAACTCGTGTTCTATTGAGTAATACCACTATTTATGACATTGAAATGTATAACTTAAAGCCTATTACGTGAAATTGCACTTGGTCAATGAATTACTTCATTAAATTTAAAAGTGCTAAGAATTTAATCCCATATATCAGGTATTATCAGGATTTGTTTGAATAGCATCACGAGTGCTAAGTAACTAAGCTAAAAAGACATTTAGAATAATCTATTTACGTTTACAAATAATCACAATATTTCATCTGATTGTCTTATTAATTTTTTTTTCAAATTAGTAGAAAATACAATTTGATGTGTTTCATATTGTAGCGTATAGTCAAAGACATTTCAAACACTATATCTGGGATTTTCATCATTCATATCCTATTTATACTTCCAAATTTTATCAGTAAAGATTAATAAAATAATGATTTACACAACTGAACTTTCAATAATTTACTTTATTTGTATATTTCCGCTGGAGTAATATAAGATTGAAGTGCGGATACACACATATACTTCATTTCTGTTGACATGATTAGACAAGTTCCAAGTCAAAAAACCTATTTATTTCAAGATGGTTTTTTAGAATACAGTCTGAAAAGTAATCTAATCTGTATAAAACTCCCTCAACTAATCTATCACACTGAAATCATGAACCGACCGACATTGAGAACTGGGGATCTTTAAACGGCCATTTCGTCTTAATAAAACCCAACAATCTTCACAACCCTATACTGATAACTATCATGTGTTCACTAGTGACTAGCTTCGAGAGGGAAGCTATGACCAGTATAGTTCAACCATATTGGGTGGAAGATGATTGCGCAATGTCGTAAATTGATTGAAGTTAGACGTTAAGATCGTCGGATTCCAATTCAATGATCTAGAGGTTAAGCGTTGGTGCACGAGACCGAAGACCTTG